AGAGCTCCTAAGAAGACCCACGTGTGCTCCACTGCACTCTGCACTGCTCCGTTTCTGCACTGTTATACATACTGCACATGGGGGAGATACTTGTCAGTTTGCTTTCAATTCGTTGTGATTTCATTCCTTTGTATTTTTCAGCTCTTGCATGTTCAATGGTGAGAATTGTGTTTCTCCATTGCATGCCAAACATGGTTTGGAGTGTGTGGGTGGGGACCACAGACAAGGATATAATAGAATCAAAATGGGAAAAGTTACAAGATGATACAAGAAATATATTTTCTACCACCGGTTTATACTTCTATGATTGAACTCAAATCTTAAAATACTGGATAATTTAAGCCCTTACCATTGCACCCAGGATATTACATTACATTACATTACATTGCATTTAGCTGACGCTTTTATCCAAAGCGACTTACAATAAGTGCGTTCGACCAAGAAGATACAAACTTGAAGAAAACAGAATCATATAAGTACATCAGGTTTGAGCCAAAACATTTTAAGTTCATTTTAGTTAGTATATAAGTTCTTAGTTAGTATGCAAGTGCTTAGTTAGTATATAAGTGCTTAGTTAGTATATGAGTGCTTAGTTAGTATATGAGTGCTTAGTTAGTATACGAGTGCTTAGTTAGTATACAAGTGCTTAGTTAGTATACGAGTGCTTAGTTAGTATATAAGTGCTTTGTTAGTAATTCTATCGCTCGAATTGGAGTCGAAAGAGATGAGTTTTCAGTCTGCGCCGGAAGATGTGCAAGCTATCTGCTGTCCTGATTTCAATGGGGAGCTCATTCCACCATTTTGGAGCCAGGATAGCAAACCCACGTGTTTCTGCTGATGGGAACTTGGGTCCCCCTCGCAGTGCTGGTGCAGCGAGCTGTTTGGCTGATGCAGAGCGGAGTGCACGTGCTGGGGTGTACAGTTTAACCATGTCCTGGATGTAGGAAGGGCCAGATCCATTCACAGCATGGTACGCAAGTACCATTGTCTTGAAGTGGATTCGAGCAGTTACTGGAAGCCAGTGAAGGGAGCGGAGGAGCGGCGTGGTGTGGGAGAATTTTGGAAGGTTGAAGACCAGAAGAGCAGCTAGATATATTTCTAATCAAACAGAAGACTTAATATAACCTAAAGAAATGTTTAGCACTTATGCACCCATCATTGACCCTTACTCAAATAAGCTAAGCCACTTAGAAAAGAGGATTAAGTCTCAGTCAAGGTCAGTGACATACATGCAGGCATCAATTCCATCAAATCTCTTCCTGTCACACACTCACACAGCACCTTGGTAAGAGCCTTGTTAGTTGTGAGGTGAGAACACAAAGGGTGTCTACTTGAGTCAGAATTGGATTTGTTTCTAACAGGATAGAGAGAAGTAACAAGACAGAGACACAGCAAGATTGGAGTTGACAACTGGAGCCTCTGGATCAGATTTTTCGAGTGGAAGCAAACCTGTGTCTTGAACAACATATCTCTACAGGTGTACAGCGAAACAGACATACATTTGGAGCTGATAATCAGAGGCATATAGGAGAGGAAGAGGTAGGCAAAGTGACAAGATACAGAGAAAGTGTTATCCGTCGGCTTGTGACCGAGAAACCTGAGATGCTGTTTTGTCTGAACCTTCGTGTCCAGTGAGCTGAACACACACCCCGTCTCTTCTGGACTCAGCCTCCTTTATGTTTGAGCGCTCCAAGCATTCCTCTATCTGTTTATAAACATGCAGAACATTTTAGCTTACATTAGGAGTGGATATTTATAGATGTTCCTCTTTTTTTCAAGTCCCAGACTGCCACTATTCATAAGCAGTGAGGCAGAGCAATGTTCCAAGATTCCCTCACCCCGTTTTAACAATCTTCCAATCATATTTTCATAACAATAAAGATCATACACGCCATTTATCCTGAATTGTAATTTTCCAGCATTTTACTTGATCTTCATCAGTTTTCCTTTTCCTTGTCAATTAACTGAAACCTGCACTCATCTGTATTTTTAAGTTTACATGTTTATAAAATGATGTTTCTTGTAGTGGAAAACCTGCAAAGAATAATGAAATGACTCTTTAGCTCCTCATCAGACTGTTTTAGTGTCTTTCAGGTCATTGTCTTTATTTGTTAAATAGTGATACATACAGGACAGTAACACATATTCAAATTAACGCTAATGTTGCGTCATATCTATGTAAATAAGCCATTGTTTGTGATAGTGTTCACCACAAAGAAACGAAAGGTAAAAACATCAAATGTTGTCTTTAAATTGCTTCTTCAATTGAACCAGACATTTAAACTTCGATGTGCATCTTGATTTAAACGGAACTTTTGTAGTTACCAACTAATCGATTAATTGACTAATTGTTTCAGCACAGATTTCATCAGAACATGGGGCTCCGCAGAACACAGCTGTCAGCTCACCCAAGGGTGGTCTTGTAATGAGCTGCTATTAGCCCCTAATCAGACCATTAGCCAGGCTGCAGCCTCCCTGTGACACGCTCCGTTTGTTTTTACCTTTCAGTGTCGGTGGACAGGAATGATTGAAGTGGCATGCTTTTGTGAGCGTTTGTGTGTAGTTCTCCGTTCCTTTGTTTGAAGCATGTGGGAGTCTACATGCACGTCTCTTTCAGAGGGATGTATTACCAGTGACGTCTGACCTTTATTAGCCCGACCGGTTAGCGGACGATCTTAGAGCCGGCCGAGTCCTGCAGCGCCTGTCTGCTGCGATGATGTAAGACTCAGGCCTGCCTCACCATGAGAGCTCATACACCATTTATAATTGTCTTTCATCGTCAGGCTCAACTACTATTAAAACGTTAGTTTTAGGGATATTTAATCAAGCATTATTTTTTTTGTTTCAACATTTTGTTTTCAACTCATAATCACTTCTTTATTATGTTATTGCACACTCCCTACTGCCATTCAGTTAGATTAGGCAGGAAAAGGAAACACATACTTAAAGATCTTCCAGCGGCTGTCCTGAGAGAGAAGTGAAACAAATGTTGGCACATGTATTTGAGAGAGAGGTAGAGGGAGTAACCCCCCTGCTTTCTATAATGTTAAAGTCTTAACCTTAATACCAGATTTTGATCATGTAGTCTTTGGGCTGCCCCTAGGCCTAAAACAGATTAAGGAATACAGAGAGAAGGCAAAGTGCTTTAATTTTTCTACATCCGCCCCAGGATGTGTGCTGTTCACAGTGAAATGCAGAAAAACAGACTGATTGACTTTAGACATCCTTCAGAGAAAGAAAAAACTAAAGACTGATGCGAGGAAAAAGTGACATAATGCTGTATGTATGTGTTTATGCTGGTAGTAATATTCCCAAAGGATGTCTTCATGTGTTATTAGCTCAGCACACTGCAGGGTGTTACACACAGTAAGATAGATAGAGGTGGTCTTCTTTGAGTTTTTCAGATACTTTTGCTCAGTTGTGGCAACGCAGACAGGGTTACATAATGCAACATTTGTTATTAGGCACACCATTTGGTATATGTATCACTTTATGTCTTCTTTGTCTTTTGTCTTTCTGTTTTTTTCCCCCGCCTACTACAATTAAGTTTTTGCAGAAATTCATGCTGGGATGAATTGCAATGGTGATTTTCTCCATGCCACAATCAAGTCACATTCTCTGTTTTATCCAATAGAATATCACAGTGGTTGCCAAACTTAATGTCATTCTATGTCTACTTGTGATGTCATTGTAACAGACTGCATACTCGTCGTTATTATTTATATATATATATCGTATCAAATATCATAATCAATAAATGCTGTTTAGCAGAATTATTATTTTCCATTACCAAGTCATTTTCATTTAAATCTCATTACTCACTGTTGAGATCCAGACCTACAGGTCAACAATCCCTGATCCAATTTGTTGATTGCATCGTGTTTGTTTAGACATTCATCTTCCCTGCTTAGATTGGGGATCCCCGACTTTCATTTTAAGGACAACTTAGTCAAAGTCAGCTTTATTGTCAAAATGACTACATGTGTTATACGTCCCACAGTGTGACATATATAAAACAAAACAAAAAGGGCCTAGATAAACGGGGTATACAATTTAAAATGTTAATAATATATTTAAAATGTTCAAAGTACAGTTTCAGTGCAGTAGCAGCGGAGATGGGCAGAAAAGGTTCACACTAGATTTAAGTGAAGTATGTCGGCAACTATGGTGGTTTATTTTATATACATATATTTATATCATATAAAATGTAATAGAGTGTGTCATGCCACCTCAGGATGAACTGTTATAACTCACGTGCTGCCTTAACGCCACCATTAAGTCAAAATGACTGTCATTGTGAGCAGGAGCCTTACAAAGCACTATAAACTACTACACTTGTTAATTTTGTGGTCTTGTTTATAAGAATGTTTCGGTTTCATCACTGTTTTATGTGACTTTGGCTCATTGATTGCCACGTGTGATCATTATTCAATGAACATGATCCTGTAACACCTCGTAATATAAAAATATATATCTGCGATTGGGTGTTTGAACAGATAATGACAAATACAACTGGAGTATTTAATTCAGTTTTCAACATGATTTTGTTGTCTGCATTATGTGAAAAGTTTTCATTTTTCACAGGCTCCCTGCAAAACTGGTGAGTAGGAGGGAAGGTGGTAGTTGTGTTGTCAATAAAACCAAACATAGCAGGCAGAGGGCTACTACATGTGATATTACTGTACAGCCTGTACTTACTTTCTCACTTTTACCTACGTCTTGATTGTAGGAAACACCACAAGTGACAGGCCTTTCAGAAAGGCCTCTTTAAAACAGTGACTGATTTGATGAAATTACTTCCTTCCTCCTGTTTGATTCAACCCCTCGGCTGTGAATTTTTTCTTATCCAATGTGAACACAATGTACAGATCACATATAACCTGGCTGATTCTGTTTAGGCAGTTCCTCCATACTTCAACATCAAGAGCAGTATATTGCACAGTGTATCTGGCAGACTTTTAGACCTAGCATCAACACTGCACTCTGCGTCCTTTTCTTAGGTGAAAGCCCTCACCCTGTTTGTGACCCATTACCCTCCTCTGTGTGAGTTGGAGCGGGTGTATCCTGAACACGTGTCTAACTTCCACATGGCTTTCCTACTCAATGAACCTGACATCAACACTGACGGTATGTGTGTGCCCATTGTTGTGTGTATTTAAAAATGATTTCAAAGTTTTTATGTCACGTATTGTAGCGGTTGACTGCTGCCTTGCAGGTCTGCTACATTTACATGAATCTTACGTTGCACTTGCTGATTTTTAACTTGTTTATCTATATACATGTGCATATGCTGACAGACGGAGAGGTCCAGCCTGAGTTTGTCACTTTCCTCTACCAGCTAACTGAAGGAGCTGCAGGACGGAGCTACGGTCTCAATGTCGCCCGATTGGTTGACATCCCAGTCCCTATACTACACACTGCTGCACGCAAAGCTCGAGAGCTGGAGAACACGGTCAACGCCAGGAGGTACAGCAAACACGAATACACGTACAAATCTTATCATGAAGGCAGTTATTTTATCTTTAGTCCTGATGTTCGCCAGGTGAACAGAAGAACAATATGTGGTTCTGCCTTTTTTGTGCTTGAGCGCCTTAAAACACCTTTATGATATAAACACAAGAAGCATTTTGGGAAATGTAGGACTTTGGAGCTTGACGCATATCAAATAGTAATATTCAGCCTCCTCTGTTTTGATTTCTACTTTCAAGTCCCCCAAGATTATTCCAGTTTAATACTTTCTTTAAAACCTCTCAAAATAAATCGTTTTCCTGTGCAAATGGAGCTTTACTGCTTATAAAAAAGATAACCCAAGAAAGCCCAGCTGACACTATACTGAATATTTATTTAAACTTTAGACTCACATGAACTTGATTTAATTTTGTGCTAAGACCTTTGAACCAATAATAGTAGAAAATCAGACCGCTGAAAAATGTGGCCTCTTTAATTCTAAGGGATGGAATTCCAGTTTTAGCTGCTTTTAGTTTAGGTTACTTTGGCTGCATCTCACTTCGGTTAAATGGAATCCTTGCGTCCCTCACTTGCGTCGTTTCCCTGCGTCTAGTCCCTCCCGCCAGGGAAGCATGGAGAGACGCAACGAAACCACGAGAAGCAGGGAAATTAGTATTAAGAGCAATGGGACGTCCTTTCCTCCGGAGCGTCACGTGAAGCGGCCGCACAGCTGATCGTCTGACAGCAGCCAGCTCTGTCCCCGTTATTTTCACAAACACCCCCGCCACACATTTACCGACACAAACATTTGTATCATCTGTTGTAGACCCAAATAAATAAAATAAAATAAGAACTAATGAGTTCTTATTTTATTTTATTTATTTGGGTCTACAACAGATGATACAAATGTTTGTGTCGGTAAATGTGTGGCGGGGGTGTTTGTGAAAATAACGGGGACANCACCACGATTCCTAAACAACAGAACATCTTACCAAGCGAAGCCTTCATTTATTTATCGTTTTACAAAAATATGTGTACTTCAAACCTGGGACGAAAAACATGAGATTTGCAATGATTTTCTTTCTTATCAAATATCACGGAGTGACTGTCCGCCATTTTGTATCCTTCAATCAAAAACTAAACAAAGCGTTATTTTTTAACTGGGACGGATCTTCCTGCCTAAAACGTCTTTCAAATATTTCTCCGTCTCGGTTGCCGTTTTGGGGACTCTCAAACTGCCTCTGCTTGATTAACAAAGTGGCCTTCACACGGCTTCATCGAGTCTCACTTTTAAAAGTAACCTTCTTGCAAGGTTTTACATGCGCACCCTTTAACCACATAACCACGTCCTTAAATTAAACTCCAAAAAGAGCAGATATTTGTATATATTTGCCGTTACGAGGTTTGGCGTGTTTGGCCCTTACTGGGTTACCACTATTTTTCTACACACCCCTTATAATGAAATGTACCACAAACGCGCAACAGTACAATAAGTCCCTCCTGTTTTTTTATGGCTTATTTCTTCTCAGCATATTCCTTCTTCTCATTCAATTCAACATCTTCTTTAAATAATATTAATGTCATCTTTTAGTCTTTTAAGGGTATTTTTTTGCCTTATAAAAGACACTTAAAGCAGAGTCATCAATTTCAGGATTGGTGTCAACAATACTCAGGACACGGGAAGTCAGAGTTTGGCGGTGCGGGGGGCTGCTAGTGGAGCCTCGCAGCGGAGAAGCTGGTTACGCGTTGGGGGGGGGGCTAGCGGAGTCTCGAAACTGTGGCGCGCTTACACTGTAGGTGCGCCGCGTTTGGGGGTGCAGGGGCTAGTGGAGCCTCGCAGAACGGGGGTGCTGCAGCCCCCTCAGCACCCCCCCCTTACCACGTCCTTGACAATACTTATCCTATTTCATAATAACTCCATCAATAAAAACTAATTTATTTATTTCCGTTTCTAGAAAAAAAGGCAACTGTTGTCACATGGCTACTCCCGGCTGTTTTGTTATTCATTTGTGGTCCAATCATATCGTCAAGTATACAGTCTCCCATAATCCTTTGCGCGCTAACCAAGCTAAAGTCATAGCTACTTTTACTCCATCAACGAAGGAAAGCAGAAGCACTTCAAATAAACCGATTTTAACATTTAGTTTTAAGATTTCTTTCCACGGCATCAGTTTTTAAAATCGCATATTTTTCAGATTCTTTAATCATGATTTTATAATGTGACCTAAACATTATAAAACGACAAAATCTGATATTATGGGGTGAAAAGAACCGGAAGTTTCTTATTAGTTTAGTTAATATATTAAAAACCGATCCAATCAGCCTCAAGAGCTTTTTATGAGGACTTTTATACTTACTTTTTAACAGCTGTCCAAGAAAATAAAAAGCTTCTATCTGAGTCTTGAGACATGTGACGAGTTTGAACTGGTGCTCCTTCCCGCTTCATGTGGAATCACACGCTAAACAAAGCTGACTAGACTAAGGTCTATAACAACAAATACAAAATAAAGCACTGCACTTCTGACAGACACACTGAATACAGTGATGACCTATTTCTGTGTTGGACCCTGAAGGCAGCATCTCCCCGGTCCAATGGGATTCCTCCATGTGATTTTGGATTATTGCAGAAAAAAAATGTCTGTGTCAAACTGAAGTTTATGATGCTCACACGTTTTTTGTAGGATGTTAGGTCATAAAGGAACTACAGCACGTCACCACCGCTAAGCTAAAGGCCGCTAATGTTAAGCGTGATGAGGTTCAGTCGTCTCATTTAGACATCCTCCGTTTTTAAATTCACTTTTCCACACACCTTATTTCAGGCTAATAACCCAAAACACATCCAGAAAACCATTGACTTCCAGAGCAGGGCACAGGAAGTGATGACATGAGTGATGTCAGGGTTTCAGCGGGAACCTCGTCTCCGTCAGTATCCCAGGTCCAGCTGGATTTTGTGCTCGAAGACGGCGATGAGCAACATGATGCAGAAACCCAGCAGGATGCCGGCGTTCTGAAGCAGGAAGAAGCCGCAGTGGCTGAAGCCGTGATCGCCCGCATCGTTATGCAACATCTCAGGAACCTGCGGAGAGACAAACAACATGAAGTCACACTGATCTGTGATTGGCTTCTGTTAGAAAAATCTCCCTGGTCCCCAGCTTGAGCTTGAATCTCAGGATCCATGTATCTGTGATCCTCTCCAGAATGGAAGTAGTCATCACATACAGAGCATCAACTAGTTCCTGAACAGTGTCCTTCACATGCTGATATCCAAGAGAGGGAGTTCCACAGTCACAAGATGGAGGAATAGAAAGCAGTATTCAATGTTTACTTCAGATTAGCTCCACGTCACAAATGAGCATGCTTGTCATATGTCTCTCTCCATAGAGGCTGAATCATCATGTTAATCACATAGCTATCATATGCCTCAAACAGTCCTGATGCTCTTCTAGGTAATCACACATCCTGTCATGTTCACAGCTACAGTTGATACCTTTGTTATCAGGTTACTCTCTGCAGTGCACATGTTGGCCACTAGAGGTCAGCATCGGACAAAATAAGCTTTCTTGGGTTTTGGCAGCGTGTGTATATTTCTGTGTGTGTGTGTGTGTGTGCACGCGGTGAGTGTTTCTGTTTGAGGTGTGTGTTTCAGTGTGTGTTTGTTTCGGTGTGTGTGCGTGTGTGTATGAGGTGAATGTGTGTATTTCTGTGTGAGGTAGGTGTCTGTATGAGTGTGTGCGTGAGCGTGGTGAGTGTTTCTATTTGAGAGGTGTGTGTGTGTGTGTGTGTGTGTGTGTGTGTGTGTGTGTGTGTGTGTGTGTGTGTGTGTGTGTGTGTGTGTGTGTGTGTGTGTGTGTGTGTGTGTGTGTGTGACGAGGCCATCTGTTCCTGAAGGCATGTTGTGTGTGTGTGTGTGTTGTGTGTGTGTGTGTGTGTGTGTGTGTGTGACGAGGCCATCTGTTCCTGAAGGCATCGCTCTCTGAAGAGACAGGACAGATGGCTGCTGACTGCCAAACTTTCACTTCTCCTGACGCCCAAAAACAGTCTCAAAAACAGTTTGAGACCAGAGGCCAGAGGTCTGTTACTACGAAGCCGGATTTTCCGCTTTAGCGGCTAACTTCAGGTGTAAACTCTGGTCTTCCGGTCCTACACGCTGGTTCACTTTTTCGCGGGTAGATCTCCATGGTAACTATCGTTCTTAGACGGTCCAGTGATGTCATAAACCTGCTAATGTACGCATCAAACCACTTGTTCTGTACCAGTGTATTCACTTGCAGGTGCAGCGTATGTGGCTTTGATCCTTGGATAAAGTGTTTAAGTCATGGATGTTTAAAAGTTTGTCTAATATTAAAGTTTACTTTTCATTCAGGAAGTTATGGACGCTGCGCTGTAATGTTTTTGGGATTAGGCAAGTAGTTTACTCAAACATATCCAGGTTATGTTGAACGGCTTCGTAGACAGGGCCTCTGAGGAGACACAATGAAGAAGAAGGAACAGGAACCAGTTCTGATGGAAAGCCGGGCTGTTTGGTTACATATTTCTGATGTATTTGTCCTGGTTGAAAATATGTACTTATATGGATTCTGTTTCTTAAAAGGTTGTATCTTCCTGTCGAATGCACTTATTGTGAAGTCGCTTTGGATAAAAGCGTCAGGCTACAATGCACATGTAATGTAATGTAATGTAATGTTTGATGTTGCCTAAATGTACTATTATTATCAGAGGTGGGGAAGTAGTGAAGTACAAATACCTTTGTTACTGTACTTCACACATTCATAGATAACAATGACATTATTGCCTCTCTATTAATTATAAAAGGGAGTCAGGTACTCTTTAAAACAGCTGCTAGTTATGGTACTTTTTTACTGAAGTACATTTCAACTCTTTACTTTGACTTGAGTAAAGAAGTTTAGTCAGGACTTTTACTTTCACCCAGAGTATTTTTAAACACGACTATTCTGGTACTTCCTGCTTGAGTAAAGGGATGGGTGTACTTGTAACATTCTCTGGTTATTATGTATAAT